GATTTGAGGACAGCAGTGTTATGAATAAAAATTCAAGGATTCACGTTGGAGAAAGGTCTTTTCTGTGCAGTATTTGTGCAAAGAAATTTACTAAAAGGTGCAGCTTGAGAATTCACGAAAGAATTCATACGGGTGAAAAACCTTACCAATGTCGAGTGTGCAGCAAGAATTTTGCTCAGTCATGTAATTTGAAAGCCCATGAAAGGGTTCACACTGGAGAAAAGCCTCATCAGTGCAGTATTTGTGCGAAGAAATTTGGTGTAATGAACAGCTTGAGAAGCCACGGAAGAATTCATTCGGGTGAAAAACCTTATCAGTGTCGAATGTGCAACAGGAATTTTTCTCAATTGTACAATTTGAAGATTCATGAAAGAATTCACACTGGAGAAAAGCCTCATCAGTGCAGCATTTGTGCAAAGAAATTTAGTACAATGTGCAGCTTGATAAGCCACGGAAGAATTCATTCTGGTGAAAAACCTTATCAGTGCCGAGTGTGCAACAAGAATTTTTCTCGATCAACTACTTTGAAGATTCATGAAAGAGTTCACACTGGAGAAATGCCTTATCTGTGCAGCATTTGTGCAAAGAAATTTACATATTTGAGCAATTTGAGAATGCACGAAAATATTCACAGAGAGTAAGAACCATAGCAGTGTGGCGTGAGTAACCCACGTGTTTTATCAAGCAGTCTCACGGATACAGGCAAAACGATATGAGAAATATTAGAATTGGCTGGATCACAACTATGCACTTTTGACATTCTGTGTTAGTATATTTGTTTTGTAACTACTTATACCATTTTTAGTTTAAGCATAAACGAGTTGACACTTTAAAGGTTATCCACTTACTTTATCAACGATATTCAATCCAAAAAATTATCTAAAAGAAACAATAGGGGTACACACACACACACACAGGAGTAGTAAGTTGCGATTATTAAAGCTTGAAATTGAAAATGCTATTAAATACAATAATGTAAGTGTTGCATCCTTCTCTATGACTGTCTGCTTCTCTTTCATGATGTCATGATGACGTGAGGAGAAGGCTGAGTCTGCTGACTTCTAAAAAATAGATGCAGCATTGGCTAATGTGCGCTGAAGATGATTTGGGTGATATCTTCAATGTTTATGCATAC